TTATATTATATTATATTATATTACATTTTATAATATATTAATAAGAAAATTATTCACATTACAATGATTAAAAACAAAGAACATCATATTAAGAACTCCAAAAAGACTATAATAAAAGTAACTCGTAAGCCGTAAGAAACTAACCAATCACAAATCGAATGTTGAAAGAATAATCGACTATGATTGGTCAATTTTTTACAGCTCTTATGGCTTACTATCTTCATTATAGACTGCCTCTAAAAATACTTATGCATTTGCTTTAAATATAACAATTTTAACGAAACGTTGAACAATCATGGTTTATTAATTTTAAAAATATAATACTTGCTATAAAAAAGGTATTTATAAATGGCAACACATATTTAATTAGTGTTAATTTTAATTCATTGAAAATAAGCAACCTGTCGACTGTCAAACCTGTGGAGTCTCTCATCCCACAGACAGGAGTACAACTCAAAAGTGATTGGCTCCATGTGCCGTCGTGAAGGCACATGACACTGGAAGATCCTTTGTGACGCTCATAAAATGCTGGACAATCAAGAAAAACTCTCGTGCCAACTGGGAGGGCCTGGTCACAAGACAACCACCCTTTGTGAGGACCCCACATCGCCTCGCATTGTCTAATCGTATCATGCGCCTCAGACGGCGCTGGACACGTTATTCCTTTCGTCTCATTCTCTGGAATATGTTATATACGCGATCGATCGTAAAAAAATAATTTATTTGATAGATAAAAAGAGAAATCTCGTGATGATGAACGTTGATGATGTACTTACTGAACGTACAACTCGGAACATTGGGAAACCATCGATTATTTTGACAGTAAATTTCACTGGCACCTTGCAAGGAGCCTTCGACGTCACAGACGTAGTCAAGACGAGTGAGCTCGGGAACGACTTCTCCCGGTCGACATCTGGAGCATCCGCTCACGTTGTAATGGGTCCCCACTTTTGCGGCGGGCAATCGACAGGCACCTTCGGGCAACGTTATCCCGCATAACGACTCATCCTCGTCGCTCCAGTCGTGACAATTAAGTTGAGAATTACACTTCAACTCCGGCCGAATGCATCCGCCGTAAGCGCAACGAAACCAATTTTCAGGACATCTGTAGATAAAAAATAACGACTATTAAAGAGTACCAAAAAATTGTATCAAGTAACTTAGATTAGGTATTTCTTATAGATCGATCGTAAAAAACAATGCCATGAGTCTATGCTCTATTACAATAAGATTTAAAGTTATTTTGAATTTTAGAATGAAAAATCAATGATTATTATTTTTCGTGACTGAAAATCTACTCTGGTTAGAATTACTTGACACAAATTTTTCTGAAGGAACACCTTCTAGTTATTAATGGCTCTCTATTAATTAATATGTAGTTACGAAAAATAGTTTTCACATTCTGGAAATATTGGAAATGGATACTTTGCAGAGAATTCTCGTAATTTGAATAAAATAACGAATATTAACTGAAAAAAATCAATTTTTAATAAAATAATTAATCTCTTAAGAATTAATATAAAACCTTTTAATAAAATTAAATTACTCAATCTAGGTCACGAGTTATTTTTAGTGTACGTACTCACGTGCTTCGCACAGTTTTGCACTTTCATCAGACGCATCTGCACAGTGTCGAGTACCATCGCACACTTTAGTCATCGGTAGACATTGCCGTCTATTCTCGCATGTGAATTCTTGATCTCTACAAAAATAGAAAATGAACTATCCGAATATTTAATTTTTGTAATCACAAAACAAAAAATAAGTCAATTAACCGGCATTCGTATTGCGAACATTCGTGACCCTCACAATTGACAGCCGCGCACATGCTCGAGTCTTCGTCGGTGCCGTCGACGCAATCCTTCACGCCGTCGCAAACCACTTCCTGATGAACGCAACCTCCGTACGAACAACGGAACGTATGCTCAGGACATGTATATTCCCGACAAAATGTCGCACTCTCATCGCTCCCGTCTGAACAATCTTTGTAGCCTTGGTAAAAAGCGGAAAGAATACAAAGATAGAATTTTTCACGTATAAAAAAAAAAATAAAATATTACATTATATTGCATAATTTTATATCGGAACAACTTAACAAAATTAATCTGATAATTACGGACCATTGCACACTTCGGCGAAAGGTATGCACTCTTGATAAACAGTAGAACATTGGAAATCTCTGTCGGAACAAATATCATTAGCGCCTCGGCCACAAGCGATTTCATCGCTAGCGTCTATACAATCTACCAGACCATTGCATCGCGCAATACGACTCACGCAGGCACCGTAATTGCATCTGTACATATAAGTGGGACACCTGCAAAAAAGATTTAATAATATGTAATATTTCATAACAATTGTCCAAATTATTGCATATACATTATTGTTTAAATTATTACAATATATTCTGTTAATTATAATTCCAGATAACATTTATGTTGCTTAAGATATCTGAAAGACATTTTTGAGATGTTTTATGTCTAAAAGATATCTAAACGTTCACGTTTGCAACGTGCATGTTATCTGAGATTTTTTTTCAATTTAATTAATAGAAGCTGATAACATGAATCATCGTGATTCATGCACTCGTGTGTGAAAGCAGATATGCACACGTAAATCCATAAATGCATTTTTTTTTTCTGAGATATTAAAAATATTTTAGCAAAAGAATGTTACAACGTTGTAATAAAAAGTCAAATACGTAAAATGTGTTTAAGACTTTTCTCAAATGTATGAATAGAAATAGGCACAGTAAAGTAAAAAAAAAAAAATAGTCTTATCAGTACTTTAACTGTTTTATCTTTCGTTGGAAAAATATCCGGTTTTTTTTGCGATACTCCTGGTTTAGTGACTAATGGCGGAAGTTAACGGAAAATATCTTCTTACACAACATGACGGCAAAGTGTTCCGACTTCGTCCGACGAGTCCGGACAATGAGGGATACCATCGCAAATGTTCGCTAATGGCATTATGGTGCCGTCCACGCAAATAAATGTCAATGATGAATACACTTGGCTATTCTCTTCTGCGATAACATGTATCCTACTAAATCCTGCAAACTCGCGTATATTAATGATCCCGTCATTATTACATCACCATTATGCACGTACGTTCACAATACCAATGTACTCTTTAATACGAGATTATATATCCTTAATATAATATGCGACCATTACGGTTCTTTATTATGCATGCGCGTTATTATGTGCAAACGTACCGAGGATCGTTGTAATTAATGCGATCATCCCTAAAGAGTAATCACTTCTAAAAATTAAGATTGCTCTTCTCGACACAGACTTAAGCGGAAATACATAGTCTTCGACTCAATATATACTCGTAATTATCTGACAAATTATTCTGGCACTCGTACGTGCATAATTTTTATAGCAGCATGAAAAATTGTATATTTTGTTCGGACACAATAGAATACCGCATGAATGCTGTTTCCTTATTATCAAAGACAAAAAAATATAATCTGCAAAGCATTATTCTACTTTGTGTTTCTAATATACGAAAATATGTTTACGTTATTTTCTTTATCTTTATTCTTTTTTTCTATCTTCGAATGACGATGGGAGGATTCGAAATTAGAATAAAATAAGCCTATACTTTATGGAATGTATTTTAGATATGACTTTTAATATTCTAAATCTTAGAAATTGTAAATTTAATTAACGCTATAAATCCTTCAAAATTTTGTTATCGTTGTCGTGTATATCTCAAATTTTGATAACCATCTTTTATTTATTGATCAAATAAAGTTCTGCAATATCTATTGGCTGTTAAAAATTCGTTTGTATTACCAACAATTATTGGCTACAGATTACACTTCTTATAACAAGTAAGACTATAAAAAAACAATACATACTTGTCTTTTTTGTATTAAAAATTTAAGGGAATTGATATTCATTGATATTTAATCATTAGTTGGCTGATATCTTCGTGGAAAGCATCATCTGATAAACGAGTAATATAATATATTGCTTATCTTGGAATATACTCATCATTGACGGCTCAACATTGTTCGTCATAATGTAATTAAAGAAACATTAAAGACAACTTCCGAAAATGTAAACCATGATAATAGGTCCTAAAAATAGATCATAGAAATAAGACGGAGCATATAATAATTTTAATCGCGTATATATATGCATCTATATGTACCTCTTGAATTTCCAATTAATATAACGTAAGAGTCCAAATTTATTTAAAATTTATTTAATTTATTTATGTTTAATTACAATTATATAATTAATTACACATATATCATAACATATTAATACATTTATATAATTATTATAAAATTACATGTAGATTTTACAATTATATGTAGAATTTCATCGGCCTTATTTAATATTCCTACAAACTATTGGAAGTAGCATTGTGATAAATGCCGCACTGTTTCCAGAATCGATGATTTGCACCAATAATCTGATTCTCAAAGGATAGGACAGCATGGTTATAGAAATAACGATAGTAATATATCGATATATGTATGTATACTATATAGGGCGTGTGCGTTCGTTATCGGAGGCTTCTTATCGTTCGGTTTATGAGAAGAGGCACACCTAGTTCCTCTTTGCTGTCCATGTTGAAAAACGCTCAATCGCACCAACGATTCAATCGTACTAAACCAGTTCGTATTAAACTCTTGCTGGATATTGTCTCCAGATCAGCAATGAGGAATCTCGTTTGGGTAATTTTGCTCGTTGTAGCTGCACGTGCGCAAGATTTAGAGAAAAAATATCTTTGTAAGTAAATTTATTTTCATCAAAATTATCTATTTATTATATTTTAATAAAACTATCCATTTATACCAAAGTTGTAATAAATTTTTTATATTTTTGTTTATCACTTGTAATAATTTAAATACAAATTTTAAAAACAAACAATAATTCTGAAGTATGTTCATCTATTCAAGTTCATTTTGTCTTTACCGCTTACTGAATGTTAAACATGATCTGAGTGAAGAACGTTTCTGAACGTAGTCCTAAAGAAGAATTTTTCAATCTTTGTATTAGAAAGATAATAAAATTCATATTATTATATTAACGGATACATTTTTATCTAATTGAAATGTATGAACATTCAACTTTACTTTTGAGAAATTTGAATCAGCAATTTATGATAATGCTTATTTTTTGCATTATTATCAAGGATCAAATAAACGGATATCTTGAGAATGATCAAATTATTTGATTGCAATTGACGTAACATCTTACCAATGTAAAATATGTTACAATTATTATTTTATATTATAATATATATATATTGTATATAATATATTATAATATATTGTTATATTGTCATCTTTTCATATCACATATAAATCTTCTTGGAAGTATTATTAAGTTTTTGTGAGTCCTGATACATAAACGGACAAAATTAGACTTTAATGCAGTGCATACATATAAAATCAAATACCGAGAAAATGATAGCACTCTACGAATTATTTCGATTAAAGAGAGCTTGAAGTAAACTTAATAAAATTATTGATAAAAATGTATTCAGTATTTAAAATAAAAGATTAGAAAATAAAGAATATTTCAATAATTATTTCATTTTTATTATTTTTCATAAATTATTTAATTAAATTATATATTTATACCTGATTAAACTTCTCCCTCTCTCTTCTTCTTTTCCTTTAATATATAAATAGATGTTTCTAGAGCGTCAAAATATTAATAAATCTGATAACTAAATTTGTATGTCAATCGATTCACAATTTTTCAGACAAATTCTGCGCACCCGTTGATGTGATAACCGTAAGTTCATGTATCGCTGTGCAACGAGGAACATCTGAAGTGTCGTGTTTGACCGTGTCGGACAGTTCCGAGTGCGCTATTCGCTTAGCTGAAGGCAAAGCCGATTTTGGTGTTTTTAATGCAGAAGAATTGTTGTTGATAAATCAATTTTATCCATCTGACATCGAACCTATTATTCAACTGAGGCATAGGAAGAAACTCACAGGTAGTAGAAAACTTCAAAAAGAATTTATATGATGAAATTAGTATTTGTAGACGCCAATTAGATATATGACTGAAAATTAAATTTGATTTATAGTATAATGAATAAAAAAAATCAGGATTAGTAATAAACATGAAATTATCGGAGATTAATACGCGAAAAAGTTTAATCAAGTTAAAAATTAATAATTTAGAATCAAACATAAAATACTAATAATAAATTAATTAAAACGTGTTGCTTAATGTTTTTGGAGTATAACTTTCTTGGAACTATGAATTATCATTAACAGTCTCCTCTGAAATTAATTAAAAACAACTAAGTTCCAAATCGTTTTCAAAAATATATTTTATTATTGAGTATTAAACAAGTATTAAATTTAGTATTAAATTTGAAATAAATATTAAAATAAACACAATATTTTCTTAAATTCTTAAATTCTTCGGTATAATAATAAACATATATGTATGATAATAAACATAAATATATAAACATAATTTAATTTCCACAGATGAGTTTGAATTTCAAATGGTAGCAGTGATCCCCATAGATTCAACGTTTATACACATAACTCCTCGCGAACGTCTTGAACGTTTGAAAAATAATGGATTTTGCCATCCTGGTTTTAGCCAATCTCAATGGCTCAATGATTATATTCTCAAGTATTTTGAAAATACATTGTCAGTGAATCCTCTGCAGTGCCAAGATAATGTAACCGTTATTGAGAACGAGATCATAAATCTCAAGAATTTCTTTGGAAAAGCTTGTAGACCAGGCGAATGGGCCTCTGATAAGTCCATCGATCAAGAACTAAGTAAGTAAAATTCTTTATGTTAAAATAATCTTATTTTCTTGTATTACATGCATTTACCTGTTATAAATTACCTGTTATAAACTTCTACTTAAAAAAAAAAACTTAAAGTTATTTTAAAGATTATATAATTTTAAGAATAAAAATTTTCTAAAAGATATATAATTAATAATAATATATTATTTCTCAGAGAAGAAATATCCAGAATTATGTGCTCTTTGTGACGACACGGCGGCTTGTAGTTATAATAAAAAGCAGCATCACGGACATATCGGAGCGTTGGAATGTCTAACTCAAGGTCGTGGTAAAGTGGCATATGTAGCACTTCAGTATGTTCAGGAATATCTTAAAGTAAGTAGGGTATTTCATTTTTATTTAAAACAACAATTACAATTGCTATTCATAGAAACATTGTAGAGCAATTATTAATTATTTATATTGATTTATTATACAATATAATATTATATTAATTATTTTTTGTATGTTCCAGACAAATGAATCGTATCAGTTTTTATGTCCAGATGGCAATATTCTTCCTTTATCCACTTCATATCCTTGCGCGTGGCTCCAACAACCGTGGAGCGTTGTTGCAGCTAGAAAGTAAGCGAATAGTAGTCAACATAAGTGAGAAAAAGCTTTTCTTTTACATTTTTCGAAAATGTATTCTAAAAATCACTCAAGATCTCTTTTTGAAATAATCGGCCTAGGTATACCTTGATTATAATTCGCTTTTTTCAGAGAAGTCGCAGACTCTCTTAAACAAAACTTATTGAAGTGGCTACATTCTCCGAAATCAGATTGGGAAAAAAGTTTAAGCCGAATTATACAAGAGGATAGCAGGGGTGAAGATTTACCAAAAACTACTATAGCTGAGTATTTGAACACAAGAGAAATCGATGTTGAAAATATTAAAACCTGCGGCAAGACCATTCGTTGGTGCACGATTAGCGATTCGGAGACTAATAAGTGCAACTGGGTGGCGAAAGCAGCAAAAGCTCTCGGTGTGGCACCGAACATTTCTTGTATTATGTCAAATTCCACATTTCAATGTTTCCGCGCTATAAATGAAAATCAAACAGATATAATCGTTATTGACTCCAACTATGGTTACCTGGCACGAAAGTAAGCAGAAAATTTCAAGTATCGACGAAATTTTGGAAAATATACGTACGTGAAATTATGGGATTACATTTCTTTAATATGCTTGCAGAGTTCATAATCTGTCAACGATTCTATACAGCGAAACTGAAGTGGATAAAAATAGTATGACATTCGCTGTGATGCGTGAGCCTAAAGAAGATAATTATCTCATAAAGAACTTCCAAGATTTAAATGGCAAAAAGGCATGTTTCCCTGAATACGGCGGACTTGGCTGGTTGAGTTTCATCAATGCCGCGAAAAAAAACGATATCATCTCATCCAAATCCTGTGATTATCCATTATTGGTGTCTGAACTGTTTTCGGGTGCTTGTACCCCTGGAATAGAAGATTTCAACTCGAGCACTG